TTCCGAACATAAAGCTTATTACTAGACAGTAAAGTGAAAAGTTCCGGAGTCAAATCTCTAGCGAGATCAACATTAGCGATTCTAGACAAGCATTGAAGAGATAGTCTTACTACGAACTCATTGGTACTGTTAAGATCCTTACGCAGATGATTGGTTATGAGGAGAAGAACGGGAGTGGAATCATGGAAGGAAAGTGAAATAGCGTGGTAAGCAATCTTCTTGTGGGAGAAACGAGGGGAAGAGAGGACTTCCAAGGCAGGGAAAGCGGCGAAGGACATGTCGTGGAAGTGGAGATTGGAGAGATAGGAGACCTTGAGGAGAGCTGTGGATTTGGTGGAGAGGTCAGTTGATTTGATTTCGTTGCGGATTTCTTCGAGGGATTTGGAGATGAAAGCTTGCTCGCCGATCAGTTGTTGTCTTAGGCCTTTGATTAGGTCCTCTAAACTGCGTTGGAACAGGGAATCCATGAGTGATGGACCTGACATTGCGAATTGGGAGGGGGTGTTTGATGGAATATTATTATTGCATTGGAATTTGGGAGGTTTTTGGAATTGAATTTCTCAGCCAATTTTAGGGTCGGAGAACGAAAGGAAATGCCCTTCTCTTTTTCTTTTTTATTACTACTTTAATGAGAGAAACGACGGATGATCATGGTTTTCTCGTGTGCATTTGATCCAAACCCCATATGCCATCGTCCGATTGAATCGTTAAACCGAAATGAACTTTTAAATTTATATATTATCCTAATTTTATTTTAATTATTTTTTGATAACATCTTTGATATTTGGTTCATGATATAAAAAAACTATGAGAATACATTTTTCAATCTAGTTTTATACCTTCACTACATTAATATTTGAATTCCTAATTTTTATTTAAAAGATTAATCACCTCATTGTTTAAGGGGTTATTGTTATTCTTACAGTATCAGTAGGAATGTAAATAAATCGAGTTTGAACGAACAATGTTATGTTCATGTTCGTTTATTTATCTTTTAAGGTGTTCATGTTCATTTAAATTTTTAATATTATGTTCGTGTTCGTTTATTTATTGTTCGTGAACGTATTCATTTAATGTTTGCGAACATGTTCTTTTATATGTTCACGAATATGTTCATTTAGTGTTCATGAACATGTTCTTTTTAGAGTCATTTAACATTTGTCTAGTGTTCATTTAGTATTTGTTTATTGTTTATTTATTGTTCGTTTATATATTCAATTTTTAGTTTTACCCTTTCATTTGCAAGCTAATGAAAAATGATAAAATTACACCATTGGTGCTTAAACTCCTTAAAATCCACAACTTAAATTTCAACTTTTATCATGTGTTCAATTTATTCTCTATCTTTACTGATATTTAAAATGTAAAAAAATAAAGGAAAAGGAGAATCGGGTAAACAAGCTTGTTCATGAACATAAATGAACGAGTTGATAAAATAGTCATAAACGAACTTGTTCGTGAACATAAACAAATCGAACATGCATTGTTTGTGTTCATTCGTTTATTAAATGAACATAAAATTTTTTGTTCATGCTCGTTTATTTAGCTTAACGAACAAATATAAACAAATGTTATACAAAAAATTCACAAACAGTTCATCGAACGCTTGTTCATTTACACCTCTAGGTATCCGATTCGAGAATATCATTTATAAGGATGTTTGAGCGTTCATTATCAAATGGTTAAGAGTCTTTCAAATAAATATTATATTTATATCGTTACATTTCATTTAGGATCAGGAATAAACGTAATCGAATTTTCTTTTTATATATATATTTTTTATCATATGAGATTATATTCATCTTTTTTATATTAAATTTAAAAATAAATTTGGTTGTTAAATTATATATATATATATAATTCTTCTTTCATTATCATTTTTTTCATTTACTAAATTCAAATTCTAAATTTTATTTAGAAAGATTAAATTCTTTATAGTGCAAGCATGCAAACACGTGTCTAAACAATGAACATTCTTCTATGCAGTAAATGTTAACTTTATTAAAATTTTATTTGATTTAATTCTTTTTACTTGTACATGACCAAATTGATTCATTTAACTAGGATTAAATTGACCAAAGAAGGACCTACCAAATACTTTTTCCTTCATTTAAACGTTAGTTAAATGGGTCGGATGTTTCAGTAGTTGAATGGGCTAGACCAGCACTGACAAGAGAGACCCGTCAAGATGCTACAAGTCACGTGCCCGTCGGATAACGCGATTCACTTTTTGAAAAAAACTCGAACGTTGCTCTCCCAACGGCTATTTTGTTTTTTAGTTTTGTGATCATATTTCGATCCAAAAAGGAAAAGAGAAATCTAAGTAGCATTATCACACAAAGATTGATCAAATTTCAATAGATTTTTTAATGACGGTGGAAGCGGAAGAAGTGGCTGCTAACACCAGTTATGCGGCGGTGCCTCCCGTCGTTCCCCACCCTCCCCCGCGGCGGCCCAGGGTCAGAGAAGTCAGTTCTAGGTTCATGTCTCCGGTATCATCCTCCAGCTCTTCCGGTGACCCCTCGAAATCTCTGCTGAACAAACAGCACCGCTCGGTCTCATCGCAGCGGCAGAGACGGCAACCGGAGACGGAGGTAAATGAGAATTTGCCCGCCCCTTACGAGACTCCGCGACCCTCCGACTCACCGTTGCAAAAGAAACATCGCCATTCAAGAACCTACAGCGATGGTAGCAAATTGTTAGGGAAAAGCACAAGTACTCCTTTGAGGCCCGACACGCCCACCATTGAAAGAACTGCTTCGTTACCACAATCAACATCGATGAGATTAAACCACTGTGCCGGAAACATTTCATCGACGCCCAAGGTCTCGGCCGCCGCTAAGCTGCTGCAGTCGAGTGGGATCGCCTTATCATTGAAGCCCAATGCTTCATTTTCCTCTCGGGAAGCCTCTGCTATGTCCGTTATAGACTTGGGTTCTTCCATGCCTGTGGCAGACAAGTTACTCCCCGAGTCTACTCGATTGCTGACAGATCGAAATGCTAATAACGACGGCGACTTGTCGATACTCCCTGCTTTCCCTTTCTCCCGCTCGTTGAATTCATCATTATCAACTTCAGATCCCTCTCTGTTTCATCATCATAATGGACTAATCAAAGGCAAATCTGCTAAGATGACTCCATTTCCACTACCACCTGTCCCTTCGCATTCAAAGTCCGGGACGATGCAATAAGGGTATCGAAGAAAGTTTCTCGACATCAAGAAGATTTGCATTCCCTGAAATTGCTTTACAATTGCTACTTGCAGTGGAGATATGCCAATGCCAAGGCAGAAGCCTCCACTCAAATTCAGAAAAGAGAAACTGAGGTTACCCCGATTCTCTAGTCTTTTAATTTTTTCCAATGGACTATCATCAACATATGCATCATCATCTTCTTCACATTCCGTATCAGTCTGGTTCGATGAACTAAATCTAATAATCTTTCTTCTGTGCCTTCATTTTGTTAGAGAATGCTATATTCCCTTGAGGTGAAGATATCAGAGATTTATGATTGTGTCAGAAAGAAACGTATGGAGCTTCAACTTCTGCAAAGAATGAACACCTTATCAAAGATCCTAGAAGCTCAAGTAAGACTGTAAACCTTTAATTAGTGGCATGTCTGTAGATAGTAGGTTACTCGGTGTCGTGTATTTGACGATCCTTAGAGGGTTATATATCCATATGTGCCCGATATAGATGTTAATGCTCTCTGGTTAACGTCACAATCTACTGACATTACTGTATGATTGATTGGTCTACATGTTCTTGTTTGGCCTTTTCTTAGATGCCACATCTGGAAGAATGGTCTGATTTCCAAGGGGATTATTTGAATTCTTTGTTGGAAACCATTCAATCCTTGTCGAACATTTCTATTCGACTTCCAATCGGTGGGAATGTTAAGGTACACATTTTCCACCTTTTTCTTTCCCTTTTTTCATTCATCATTTATTCAAATGAAGCAGATTCTTATTGTGTTCCCATTGTAGCAGGCAGATACAAGAGAGATAGGGGAGGCAATGACTTCTGCAATAAAAATGATGGAATTGATAGTCTGCCATGATCAAAGCTTTATGCCAAAGGTAAGCTTTGATGAAAATTAGTCCATAAAGCTAAAAAAGTGGCAAATATTGATGCATTTGGTCCTTTTTATAATAAAGCAGGCTGAGGAAATGGAAAGTCTAGTTTCAGAGTTGGCTAGGGTTGCAATAAGAGAAAGAGCTGTTATTGAAGAATGTGGAGATTTGTTACACAAGACAAACACATACCAGGTTTGGCTTTGAAATAACCTTTCTTCTCCTATGTTACTCGAACTCGGGTGTGAGTGTTGGAAACGTATTGTATCCCGCACACGTGTCAAACATAGATATTTCAATAAGTCTTCTCTATTATGAAATTGCTGCACTCAACCAGTTTGTGTTTACTTACAAAGGTTGTTTACATTGTTTTAGGCTGAAGAATGCAGTTTAAGAGGTCAGCTTGTTCAGTTGCAAGCAGTGAGTTCATGCACCAATAAACTCCAACAACAAGAATGAAAACAATACCCGATTTTCAGACAATATACACCCAACGACGAGGACGACTAGAAGAATTCTTTTGTTCTTTTGTAATTTTGGGACGTGAAAGTTTTCACTTTACAATATAAATTTCACCAATGATTCATTGCTCCCATATATGGATAGTTGGATACCTTATCAATGGAGGGAAATTGCTATGAATACGTCATCTGATCCACTAATACATAGATTATTAAATACGAATGCAAACAAATGCTTGATGTTGAAGGGAAAATGATGGAATGACAAGGGAAGTACTTAGTTTTCTTGCATTGAAAGAAACAATTTCACAAACCAAAAAGAAAAGAAAAAAAGGGCCACTGCTAGGGGCACCAAACAACCAATGCTCCATGATTAGATTATAAGTGTATAACAGAAGCTATAATACAAACACTGTTTATATAAAACAAACGGTGACACCACAAAAAAGAAGAAAATTCCTTCATAAAAAGATAAGCAAACCCAAATCCTCTTTATCTACCGTTCTACATTATGTTACTCGAACTAAGGTGTGTATCCGACACGATTATGTTCAGATTTTTCTAAGTTCTTTCATATATTTTGAGGCTTCTTAAATATCACGTCTCAGTATCCATATGTCGGACACCGAGTATTTTAAGAAAAATGAAGAGTCGAAACGAACAACAGGTCTACACAATAGTGATTGAATCCCAAATGCCATGAGATCAAAAGGGGTACCTGTTTTCTTTTTGTCTCCTAAGCTTTGTCACACACTTCAAGATTATGCTTCAACATGTACATAGTGAATATCAATAATAGGAAAAATGGAGGTGAAATTTCATTTCCTGCTCTTTTTAACTTTACCATTACGTAACAAAGAACCCAATCCGAAGAGATTCGCCGTCCCTTTCGAGATGTAAGGCGGCGGGACGTTCAAGACCGGACTGATTCGAACACCGTTGCCATATGCATAATTCCCATTGTTTTTCTTCAAAGGAGGCTTCTGAGGAAACCGATAAGCCATTGAATTACCATGCTTGTTACCGTCTTTCATCGACGACGAGCGTTTCGGATTGGCGACCGAACCGGTCGAATTGCTTCGCGAAAGAAGCGGTATAGAGCAAATCAAGCTCTTCTCTTTGTCACAGTTGAGGCTGCTACTTCTCTTGAAACCCCAAAACGACTTGGATTGCGCCTTTTCTTCCATGTCTTTGATCCGATCCTCGACCGACGCCGATGATTTAGGCCGTGGAGGAAGCGAAACAATCGATGGGACTTCACATTTTTTGACCACTTTTGGAAGTATAGTTCCATTTGCAAATAATTCATCTGCCGATGAATATTGTTGCTCGAAGCTGAAGCTGCTGCTGCTGCTGCAAATGTTGAACTCGAAATCCGGACAGGGTTCCAACAGCATTGTGTCCCTTCGAGATTCACTCGGTTCGGTCGTTGGTTGGATCATTAGATCATGCGAGAACGATACCCGAGGACTTGTTTCCGAGCACATATTTTTGTGTTTTCACTTAAAAAACAGGGTTTTGGAGATTTAGAAGAATTCAAGAATGTAAACAGTGTGGGAAAAGGAATTCAACTGCGGTAGGCGGGGGGAGAAATTTGAAGTTTTGAACATTGACAAAGATTCATTGAACTGAAAATACAAGTCAAAGAAAAGGGAAATGACTAGATTTTCGTGGATTTCGAGGAACATAAAGGACAAAAGACCAGGAGTTTTGTCTGGGAGAGTTAATGGATCAAGCAGAGATATAAAAATCTTTCATATTTTTCTGCACATCAAACAGAGGTAAAGACAGGAGGAAAAAGAAACTGGGAAACAAAGGCAAATTTTTCCTAGAAAATATAGAGAGAGAGGGGGGGGGAACGTTGAGAAAATCCAAGCAAGATTTGTTTAACAAAAAGGAAGATTTAAGCTTTGAAAGAGAATGAAAGACACGGCGCAAATGAAGGGAATAGTTGAGAATTTAAGTGCACCGTGAAGTTTTGAGGGCGTAATGCAACAAGAAATTTGCTCTCTTTTCTTTTGCAAGGAAAAACAAATGTTAAAACCTTTCTCAACGTAAAATTGACCATTTGGAATTGCCGTCTCAACAACTCATATCATGACCGGGTGATTTTGTTGTACGACGCCCAAAAACGTTAAAAGATGACGTGATCTATTTTTTAATTAAATATATATATTTAAACAGATAATATTGTAAATTTAATTATTATTATAATGTAATATTTACGTTGAGAGATGTCCGTTTTGAATTTTTGTTCTTTGAGAAACTGATAACATGGTAGGTTTCTCAATGTTATTTTTTGTTATTGTAATATTTTTGTTCTTTTCTTACTGGATTTTGTTTAAAATATATAATTTTTTGTATTAAACAATGAAAATTCTGAAATAAAAATGACCACACAAGCACACTTTTTTACTATCGGTTTTGTCATTTCGAGATCGATTTTTTTTTATATTTTTGTTATATTGTTATAGATCGATACATTTTTATAAAGTATCGACACTTTATTGACGCTATAACTTCTTTTCTTTTAAATTCCAAAAGTGTCGATACTTATAATAAAGTATCGACACGATCAACATATTCGGTAGGTCTTTACCGATTTTGTCATTTCGAGACCGGTTTTGTCATATTTTTACCTGTTATATTGTTATGGATCGATACATTTTTATAAAGTATCGACACTTTATTAGCGGTATAACTTCTTCTCTTTTAAATTCCAAAAGTGTCGATATTTATAATAAAGTATCGACACTATCAACATATCCGGTGATACTTTACCTGTTTTGTCATTTATAGACCGGTTTTGTCATTTTTTTTACCTATTTTATTGTTATGGATCGATACATTTTTATAAAGTATCGACACTATCAACATATCCGGTAGCGCTTTGCCTGTTTTGTCATTTATAGACCGGTTTTGTCCTTTTTTTACCTGTTATATTGTTATGGATCGATACATTTTTATAAAATATCGACACTTTCAATATATCCGGTAGCGTTTTACCTGTTTTGTCATTTATAAATCGGTTTTGTCATTTTTTTTACTGTTATATTGTTATAGATAGATACATTTTTATAAAGTATCGATACTTTCAATATATCTGGTAGCGCTTTACCTGTTTTGTCATTTATAGACCGGTTTTGTCATTTTTTTACTTGTTATATTGTTATGGATCAATATATTTTTATAAAGTATCGATACAAACCGACAATCTAAGTTTGCCGGTTACCAAATTTTTTAATATTTCTTCATGATTTCCACTTATTATATTATTATTACTCGATATTTCCGTAGCGCTAAACCGAATTTATCAAATATCTTTTAATGTATCCGGTAACACTGTATATTAACCGTATATTAATCTGCCTTTCCGGATACAATCTCTATCATGACCATTTCTCCTCTATATAATAAAACACGATGATTAACTTATATTATTGTAAAATTAATTTCTTTTACATTTGTTTTTCTTTTAATTTTTTATTTTCGATAATAATAAAATCTTTAAATTATACTTAAAATCAAGTTCGTTTGAATCTCTTTTTCTTTTGAAATGGACTTATGAAATTAATTTTATAGGATTGGAATTAAAAATACTATTTGAATAATATCAAATTATTTATCACTTAAATTAATAAATAATAGTAGATTATATATTTTTAATAATATGATATAAAATGGTCAATGAATTAAATTTATTTGATGAGTCCTCTATTTGTCGTCTAATTTTGTACGTATTTGCTTATTAAAATCGTACAAAATACCCTTTACAAAAGAAAAAAAATTCAACCAATTTGATAATTAATCCTTTTTGGAACATATATATAATTTTTCACATTTTTGGTGTTAATTTATTTTACACTTTTTCTTCTTCGTGATTTTCTATATCAGATAATCATAAAATTTTAAACTAATTTGATTCGATCTGATCTTATTTCGAAGGTATACTATAATAGATGTACTTTTTATAGGATTCGAATTAAAAAAATTATTTAAAGAGTATCAAATTTCTCATCACTTAATTTAATAAATAACTAGTGGTTTATATATTTTTAAGAGTTAATTGCATTATATGTCCCTAAACTATGACCCTTATTTTAAATTAATCCTTGAATATTTTAATTTCATCCTCAAACTATGATACTTATTCTAAACTAGTCCTTAAATTTTTGAACAGTCTAATTTCATCCTCAAACTATGACCCTCATTCTATACTGGTCCTCATACTTTTAGATATTCTAATTTCATCCCCAAATTCATCCAAATATATAATAAGTTTTAACCACAGTTTAACCTAAACTTTATTTTTTTAAAACATGTAATAATATAACTTGGCCTAACAATTTTATTAACATGAGATGTGATTATTACATATAACTTGGAATGAAATTGAAATGTTGAAAAAGTTTAGGGACCAATTTAGAATGAAGGATTTAGTTTGGGGGAAAACTAGAATGCTCAACAGTTTGAGGACAATTTTAGAATGATGGTCATAGTCTAAGGATGAAATTGGAACATTTAGAAGTTTAAAAACCAATTTGAAAGGTGGATCATAGTTTGAGGACGTATGATGCAATTAACTCAGTTTTTAATAATATGATATAAAATGGTAAATAAATTTAATAGGTAAAAAGATCTATTTGATAGAATTCGACCTATTTGATATGTAATCCTTTCTAGAACCCATATATATAATTTTTAACATTTTTGGTGTTGAATTTAAAGCTTTAATTGAGTTTTTTTTTTCAACCTTGTAGTGATGAATTTAAAAGATTTTTTTGACATTGATTTTTAACCCTTTGAGGTTGGGATAAATTTGAAGCTAAGCTAAAGGAGGAACCACGTTTTCAACATTTATGTTTAGCCTGTCATCCCTTCCCCACCATCTACCATTATAGGCATGGCGGTGAACACATTTGAATTTTTCTTGTTTTATTTCTGCTTTAAGAAATTAGGGCTATTGTGCTTCTTCAGTAATTCAAAGCTATATATATACAGGGATGGATCGAGTGGGTGTTGGAGTGCAGTCGCACTCCTTATAAATTTTAAAACCTTTTATATTTTAAGTATTTTCCTTATATTTTATGTAGTTTATCTAATTTAGTATCTTTTGAGGTTTTATAATTTCTCACTCCTACATTTTTAATATAATTTATTAAGTTCACACCTGACATAAATTCATGCGTCATATATATATATATATATGTTCGAGATCATTTGGTGTATAAGAGTACTATTAAGTTTAAAATTCAACTGAATGGAATCACGTTTTAAAAAATACTTTTTTGTATTGTTATTCTTTTTTCATTTATAATTTTTGAATGCGAGACTTTACACATAAAGTATTAAATTTAAAATTAGATCACAATTTAACGATTGCCGTTTAATGTTTTAAAGTTTATATACTAATTTAGAATGAATGTCATAAGTTAGAGAGCTCATATACAATTGACTTTTTGTCGACACTGTTTTTCGTCCGGGCAGAGAAAGACCAGTACCGACTTAAGGGTATTTTTTTTTAAAGGTTTTTGAAATGTGAGCAGTCGCCATCAATCATTTAAGGTGCGATTGAGACACCATAAAAACCGGGTGATTTTAAAAAATATTTTATTTTTATCAAAATACCAAGTTTTAAGGTCTGCAAAATACAGAAATCAGGTTCGGGAGTCGGTTACGCGTGGGGAAAGATTAGCACCCTCAGAAGCGCCCAAAAATTGGTACCTAGTTGATTACTCTATATTTAGAATCGAAAATTTTGAGTTCAAACTGTTTAATTTAAAAATCATTACGGATGCAAAGTTGAAAAGGGTATTCATTTATTAAGGTCGATAGCGTTCGCCCCTAGCATAAATGTGGGAGATTAGCTATTGTGCCTAATAACTGGACTTTTAGAAATCATGATGCGGTCTTGAAAATGATGTCGACCTATTTCGGGAATCACCAGTAGTCACCCCCTGAGCATACTTGCAGGAGATATACCATTAATTCCCTAATAAATGAACATTGTCTTAGGTTTAAAAATAAAATGCAATCAAACAAATTTTTATTCATCCTAATTAAATTAAGGGTAAGTTAAGGTTTTTTCTAGCTTAAAGTGTCAAATTATGAAAATTAAGAAACCTAGAAGCTCAAGCCTAAAATGTAGGATCTAATATTAACCCTATTTGATTTTTAATCAATTGTTGAACCGAATAATCAAGATGATCCCTTGAGTATTTAAGCGAGGGCCGACTCGAATTATTCCCTAAATTAAGAGGACTATATTGAAATCTAGCTAAAAGTGGAGGTTGTATTTAACCTATCTGATTATGTCAATCTTAAAGGTTTAATCCAAGTTCAGGGACTAAAGGGATCTAAAAAACTGACTTCTAAAATACTGTAAGTTTAAGGACCTAAATCAATAATTCCTAAACTTTGCAGACTAATTAATAAACCAAAATCCTAAGTATTATCTAAATTAACCTATTAAAAAGGAATTAAACCTAAAGTGTTTTTTAGAAAATATCGACAATTAACAAATTTTAAAAAGTCGAGCAATCAATTCGAGTAATTGGGCATCTTATGCGAAAACTTGACTTGAATTACTCCTTAATTAATAATTAGGGTATCATCCTAATTTCTAAGTCCGATTTGATTTATTACCTAATCTAAGAACGAAATATAAAGACTAAAACTATGAAATATTGAATCATTTAATAAACCTAATTAAAATAATATAAAATAGAAAACACAACATAAAAAATAAAAAAAAGCATAAATATAAGGACCAAATTGCATGAACATCAAATTACCAAGCTAAAAAATAAATTAGACATATAATAGGGGCTAAATTAAAACAAATTGAAATTTAATGGTTAAATCTAAACAAAATAAAAAAATGTTTAGGGATTAAAATGTAAAAACACGCGAAAGTTACAGGGACTAAAAGATAATTATCCATTTTATTTAAGCCTAAAATAATCTATTAAACTAAAATGGAAAAAACACAAAATCAGTCCACACGAATTAAAACAAAATTAAATTTAAAAAGTCACTACACATGACTAAAGTGTAAAAACGCACCTAACTTAAAGGGACCAAACAGAGAATAACCCAAAAAATAAAAATCATGCAAGAAAAGGGGAAATAGTAGTTTTAAACCCTACAGGTGACCAGAATGCAAAAATATGCTAAAGTTAGAGGGACTAAAACGTGATCACCCAAAAATTACAAAGTACACAAGGAAAAAGGAAAATAACATATTTGGTCCTTACAGGTGACCAAAATGTAAAAGCACGCTGATTTTACCCTAAATTATTTTTATATATACATACTTTCTTCTTTTTTATTACTTCATTTTAACCTGGAATTTAAAAAACAAACAAACAAAAGATCTCCCCTCTCCCTCAGATCGCCTTGGTGTAAAGTGAGTGTCTTTTTACATTTGATATGTTCAGTAAAGCAGTATATTCTTCCAGGGTAGGGGTCATGTCTAATTTGCCGAAAGTAAAGCAACGGTAAGCCGAATTCAAGCATTTAGCCAAAGCTCGAACCAATATTGTATCTATTGTTACCCTCAGCAACTCGACTGTATCACCGTATACTTCTCTGAACAACATCTTCTCAATCTCATCCCAACTAGCCCATATTCTTGATAACTCAAACCAATGCGCTTGCTTGACACTGATAATAACCTTCTCTGACAACACAAATTCTTCAATAGCTGTAATAATGTCCCCAAACCGTGCTTGCCCATACTCTGACCAAGTCTGAACATTTATCACTTTTTCGGTCCTATTGGAAGACATTGCTGCCTTAAGCTCTTTTTACAGTAACTAGATAATTCAGGAATCAATTCTATGCAATGTTATGAAATGAAAATGATACATGCAATCAAGAAACAAAGAGACGGGTCAGTAACATTCGATTAATTCATAGAAATCAAAGAATAATTAATGCAGACTAGCAAAAATTTTAAAAAATCGGATGTAAAACACACTAAGAACATTAAAAATCCTAACCGCTTGCGTTCTAGTTCTCCTAGGTTATCCACGTGGCTCTAGCGGGGTAGGTTTTCTAAATTCTCTACACGAGGTTGGGTTCTAGCAAAGGTTCCCGAACCATCTTTGCAACCTACTAAGATTGACTCCGATTCTGGCCCATTACAGACTTGCAAATCGGATTCGACTCAGGGGATCACACTGCTAAAAGCGTGTCTCGAAACTAATATCCGGGCAGGCAACTTAGGATGTTTTCCATAGATACTTTATCAAACCCACACAAGAAGCCCAATGCTCCTCATGAGGTGTGACATTTCTCCCTACTTTGGTAAACCGGGATTGAGCTTGAGTTTAGAGCTATGATATGCAACAATCCTAAATAATTTCACGGAAGTGTAAGCACAAACTTTAGGAATTATTGATTTAGGTCCTTAAACTTCTAATCTTTTAGAAGTCAGTTTTTTTAGATCATTAACACTTTAGTCCTTGAATTTGATTAGACCTTTAAGATTGACATAATCAAATAAGTTAAATAGAGCCTTCACTTTTAGCTAGATTTCAATATAGTCATCTTAATTTAGGGAATAATTCAAGTCGGCCCTTGCTTAAATGCTCAAGGGACCATCTCAATTATTCGATTCAATAATTGATTAAAAATCAAATATGGTTAACATTAGAACCTACATTTTAGGCTTGAGCTTCTAGGTTCCTTAATTTTCATAATTTGACACTTTAAGCTAGAAAAAGCCTTAATTTACCCTTAGCTTAATTAGGATGAATAAAAATTTGTTTGATTGGATTTTATTTTTAAACCTAAGGAAATGTTCACTTATTAGGGAATTAATGGTATATCTCCCGCAAGTATGCTCAGGGGGTGACTACTGGTGATTCTCGAAATAGTTCGACATCCTTTTCAAGACCGCATCATGATTTCTAAAATTAAGGCAATGTTCGATTGTTAGGCACAATAGTTGATCTCCTACATTAATACTAGGGGGCGAATGCTATCGGCCTTAGTAAACAAATACATTTTTCAACATTGCATCCACAATGATTTTTAAATTAAACAAAGTTCGAAGTCAAAATTTCCGACTATAGATATAGGGTAATCAACTATGTATCAATATTTGGTCGCTTGTTGGGGTGATAATCTTTCCCCATGCGTAACCGACTTCCGAACCTAATTTCTAGATTTTCGCAAACCTTAAAACTTGGCATTTTGATAAATATAAAATGTTTTATTAAAATACCCAGTTTTTTTGTGTCTCAATCGCACCTTAAATGATTGGTGGCGATTGCTCACATTTCAAAAACATTTTCAAAGAAATATCCCCAAGTCGGTATTGGTCTTTCCTCGCCTGGGCGAAAAACGATGTCGACACTCTTTTATTTAGTTTTCTATTTTTAATAGAAGATACTAGTTTTATTAAAAGCAAAAATATCCAAAATTTTAATAATGGTTTACAATTATCATTGTAAAGTAAATACATAATTTGACATTTTCCTATAACATTGAAACTAGTCACTTTAGATTATATAGATATCATACATAGAAAAGGTTAAAAACTCAACCAAAAGACTTGAACAATAAATAGATATAACAAAATCTGACTATATCGGCAAACAAACCACAAAAGGAGATTAAACTATTGAAAGACCACCAAGAACTGCAAATCAAATGTGAGCGTTGTGAGAAACTATCTACGAACACAAAATCGTGTATCCATAACAGGGAGATCAATATGATTACAAATAAGCGTTGTTTTGATCAGTCGTAGCGTCGTCAAATCCAACATTGAAAAAATATTAAATAAAAAAACGGGCAAACGACCGAGAAAGAAGACGAAAAACATGTCATAAAGATATAGAAAAACATGCTACAAAAACATAATTATTCTTATTAAAAAATTAAAAAAGAAACAAAGAGAAAAGAAAATCAACAGTAAGCAATACGTCAAAATCAATTCGCCGCCGACTAGACAAAATCAAAGAAGAAAAAATTGATTTGATCTATAGAAAACGACACAAACTCTACTTTTTTTTAAAATAAGCTGTATTATTATTTATTTATAATATTTCTTATTCATTAATATGACACACACCTCTCACAGACACAATTATTTGAACCTAAAACTTCTAAGAAGATCAACACATCTCTTTAATTACTGAGATTGCATTCTAATGTTTTTTAGTTTCTATTTTCCCGTGTCATTAATTAATAATACCCAACTTAAAGTTTTGTGCACAATTAATGTAATTAATTTAATCTAACAAATTAAATTATCAACTTTGAATGAGTACAAGAATTAGGAATAGTGGTTAAACATGTTAGATATGTTTGGGGGATTCGGGTTCAAACTTAATATCTTACACTTCATTTCTTTTTTCTAATTAACTCGAAGATGAAACGTGTTATAATTATATGATGACATACGTCATTAATAAAAATTAATTACAAGTGATTAAAAATGAAAATGACACTTAAGTTTGATGACTTGTTTGTAATTTTATTATTTTTGGCGACTAAAATATTTTTTTATAATTGAAATCAATCAATCATTGCAACAGTTGAAATAAACCACCCACCTACTGACTCAATCTAAAATTTTGAATGTGCAGAAATTTTCACACATTGGCATACAAGTTCGATTGGACTTCAAATTAATAATTACTAATAATAATAAACAATATTGGTTGAATTTTGTCATAAATCATGTCAAATTCCAACACATTAATTAATACTACTCGTTCAAAACAACTCCAAACATCTATAATTAACCAGTTAATGATGAGTAAATTGGGTTGGGAAGGTCGTCCTTGTCTCTGCAGTACCTGATCTAGATTAATCGATCAATATTCAATTCAAATTAACTAATTAATGATTAGAATATCGATGATTATAGTAATTAGAAAATTAAATTTAAGGACTCAATCAATAAAATTTCAGCTCAATTGTGGTTAAGGTACATTGATCATTTGAATAAAGCTTGTGCAATAACTAGATTGACCTAATACAACCTAACTTGTACTAAATTATTGCAATGGTCCCTCCTCGTTACAATAATTAATGTAAGATATATTTGGGTCTGGTTAGAAAAAAAATTGATAAGATGTTTGGCTTTGAACTATGTTTTGATGACATGCTATCCACCTTCTATCCTACACCGTTGATGGATTAAATAGATCACTGAAGTTGGACTATTCTTCATGGCACATACTCTATTTTAAACACTTCCTCCTTTCTGAATCCCAAAATAAATAATAGTAATAAAATGTTTAATGTTATTAAGCATGCTTTGTGCTTTAGAAAATGGTGTTATGATATATAATACACATTGAGTTCATTAAAGTCATAAGAAATGATTAAATAATTTTACAAACTCAAAAGGGATAGTAATTTTAAAATTTTTCTTTTGATTCATAGCATACATGTCATAACATTTTAGTTAAAAATGTTATGTTAAAGGTTAATAAACGAAGGTGATCGGAAAAATAACAACACATATGTAAAATGAGGTCAAATAGATTTGTTTGTTCATTAAACAGATCACACCATCAATTTTTTAGAACGGACTAAACTAAAATTCAAGTTAAAAATTGGTTTTGGCAGTGTCATGTCATGTATATAATCCTAACCACAACTGAAACAAGACCGAGCTAGATACCAAGCAGGGAGCAAAAACTAGCCGAAGTGGTCCATGAGGATATGAGGTCCAATATCCTCTTGACCATACTTTGCCAGGGCAGATGGAAGATGGGGAGGTTCAACTCTTTTCCAATCCATATGTTCATAGGTTCAGTGAAGATCTCAATGTAAAAAAGGGCCCCCAATATAGCAGGACCTTAGGTTATGGTCTTTATTTGCCCAACAAGTTGCCTAATGTTTGTGAAGTTGGCCATGTGAGCAATAGGGAAGCGGATAACAGGACAAGAAATTACTTCCCCACGAGTGCTCGATCCATATTTGCTTACCACGTCCATCACTGATAGAACTTGATAGAATTTGGAAGTGCCACCTTAAAATTTACAAAAAAAATAAAGGTTTAAATTAAAAATTTTAAAGGGTTCAATTTACATTTTTTTCCCAAAAAAATTGAGTTCCAACTAAAGTTTTTAAAATTTAAAAGGCTCAATAAGAATTTTTAAAAATTATAGGACCCCTACAAAATGTTTGGTGTCATCATTAACGGGCCAAACACTGAGAACCGGGAAATAGCAAAGTGAATGAACTTATGTCAGATCGGCATCAAAGAGCCTTATTTTGATCTCTTTTATGATGAAGGGTGTCACATTATACTCTCCGTTCCGAAACTGATCTCTGAAATCAACGAGCATAGTTTAAATACACCTCCGACAACATGCGACCGATAGATAAAATCATAAGACAACTTAGAGGAAACAATCATTTCACCATTAAACATCTAATAGATTGATTAGATAGATCTCTTATGACCCTAACAAAGCCAGTCAGAACAAACCAATCCCATTTTATCTCATACCAGAGCGTGACACCTATAAGACCAAGTACATAATCAAACTTTTTTTAGTCTCAAAACACAACTCTGTCCAAATTAGAATAGATGAACCACAACCTGCCTACCAACCCATCGACCACCATCTTCAACCCACCTAACCACCTTAAGCGACCAGTTGAGCATCAACATAGATAAGAGAGATTCAAGATAAGTGACGTTGCAAATAAGAAGCTATGTGCTAAAGCCAAAAGTATTAACAATGCCAGCGATCAAACAAACATTATTAGTCGTAAAAAGCCTGGCACAATATAACGGGCAATATTGTATTCCACACCAAAGAAGCGTGAACACTAGATAAGTTACACACACAGGTACTCATAAATCTCAAATTTTAAGGTGCTCCGCAACAAAAAACAGTTTTGGGGGGTAAAACAGACAAGGAAAAGGCATCAAAAACTTTGAAGAGGGTCTATCTATGCCTCGGTAACTGGAAACTCAAACACGACGTCTTTTCCGGCAAGTTTCCTATAAACTGCAGAAAAGGTCTCGAGCTTATACTCTGTGTTGTTCTGTTCCTTTGGGTCCAAATAGACCTGCACAAAATGGGAGGCAAAAAACAAATGAGCATCAGCCTTCATAAAATTAATCATATCTATGAACAGTGACAACATTCATAATTTTGATGTACTGAACACAATTCTTTCATCCATCACATGGACATTTCCATCAACAGTCGTAGAATTAGTATTAATAGTTATATGATCAGTGTTGTACCTTCATCATCTTGGTTCCATCGATTCTATATCTAATACGCTTCCCGACAATCTCAGCAGGTAAGACAATATCTTCTAGCATTGCTTCATGTACAGCAGTTAATGTGCGGCTGCGTGGCCTCTGAACAGCAGAGCCTTTTTTTGGAGGCCTTAATATCCTCCGTGTAGCAATAAGAATCACATCCTGTCATGTAAACATAAACCAAGTTAAAACCAAGAACATGAGCATACCACCAATCAAACCAACCAGTAACAATCATTAATAATACAATATAGAAATTCATGCAAAACAATAAACCCAAATCAAGCAAAAAGAATTCAAGCAGAAATACCGATTCATGAATAATACAATAAAACGGGTTTTATTCTCATTTTTTGCAGAAATGCAAGAAGTAGCTTAGTGCTTTCCTCACCTTGCCACTGAACTTCTTTTCAATCTCCCTCACAAGCTTAACTTGAAGCCTGCGAAAAGCTTTCCTCAATCTGTACGGAACCTGGATAACAACAGCTTTCCGGCCACCAGATACATCAATCTGACTGCAAGTGAAAAAAATGTTACAGCTATCATATGATGGACAAAGACAAGCGTAACTTTACATTTAATGGACCATAGTGAATCACTCTTACACTGCTGAATTAATGTAGAGATCTTTGAGGTCACTTTTTAGATCTATGTTGCTATTCTCCAAATCAAAGAAAGCCTGTAACAAACAAACACACACACATTCTTAAATCATTCACAGAATAACACACTTTCCGGAACATTTCAAGTGTAGCAAACATAAGAGCATTTTAGAACCTGGGCAACCGACTCCTCAAACTCTGTTGGCTCGACATCTTTATCTTTGTTGATCTTCTTCTCGAAGTATACATCTTCAATACCTGCATTGTGAGAAAAAATAAAAAGTTGAATAAGAATTATCAAAGAAAGGGAAAAGTAATAAAGAACAGACGAATTAGAAATAGGATCAAGTATTCAACTACCCATATACAAATTTTAAAGGTTCAATTTAAGATGAGTAGAACAATTATACAAGTTCACGATTCAATAACAAGCTAACAATTTACAAGTTTTACGGTAAGGTTCATATTTCATGCTGTATCAAACGAGAGCAAATAATATATATATACTTCAACTTGAAATGTTTTTACTCATTTGGCAACAATTATTGAATAAATAAGAAAAAAAGGTAATAAGGCGCGCACACACACACACACATACAGCAGTTTTAAGCCAACAGCCGCTTCTATAGTACATTTCACCAAAACAGAAAACGGAAATTAGTATATCAGATAAAACTGAATAGAAACAAAAACGAGAAGGAATAAAAAGAACAAGCGAAACGCCTGCATTCTCTTCGTTTTTCATTCATTTTCCAGGCAACCAAGCAAGTGATAAGAAAACGATAAGTTTCACCTCAGAAAATGCAAGAAAATGACGACGGACCACGAAAGTTAGAAGCTCCTCCCTGCAGCAGACTGGTGAGGAGCTAGGGTTTCCGCCAAATTGAGCTTTTATAACATTGACAATGATTTACAAGCGACGGTAGTGATTCAGTTTGGATCTCATTGGGCCGAGTTTTGGATATTCTGGTTTGTATGGGCCGCTTATTTCCCAAGATTTTTCAAATATTACTGATTAAATTGAAGCAATCAAACTTGTATATGACAATCTCTCTCACTTCGTTGTCTTCAAATTAACTAATTTTATGGTCGGCAGACATTGCCACTGGTGCTAAATCTATGAACCAGGCACGCGAGAATTCTGGCCATGGTGCCTTGGGAAAAACATGGTTGCCCTTGTGTTAATGGAGACATTTACAACGTAAGTACATCATACATGGTTGTCCTTGTGCTTTTGCTCTTTTAATGTACATAATTGACCATACAGGCTGCTAGCTGACGAATTATGGTCACAACATTGGCGATAGTTCGGTGTTCGACGCGAAACTCCGAGCAGCGTACGATGGACTTCATCGGGCTTGGGATATAGGAGTGTGGCAAGTTGTCGTCGAGCTGGATAATAAGGCAGTGGCTCAGGCCATTTCAGAAGAGGCTGGTTATGTTCTCTAAGTGGAGCTTGTTTATCGTCAAGTAAATCGAGTGACAAACACGATAGCAAATTTAGAAATTATTCAAATAAGAATTTAATATTTTGAAATGATGAAGTAATGACCTGTTTGAATAAAGATTTAATCTTTTAAAAAAATAATTAAAGAATTAATATTTTTCAATATAATTTTACATTTATTGCATTAGTCATAAAAGATATCATTTAAAATAATTTTAAGAATACATCAAATAAAATTCCTCATCTAACCGTAACAAAAAAATCAGATCCTTATCTGATCATTTCAAAAGATAAACCCTTACTTGATTCATATAATTTAAAAATATTAATTATTTCTTCCACTATTTCAAAATATTAACATTTTATAGGGATAATCTCTAAAAAAGAATAAATAATATTCAGCCTATTTGCAACGGGAATTAGGGCTAGAAACTCAGCTTGAGTAGTATTGAGTTTCACTCTATTCGAAAAGTGTAAAATTGAGCTCGACTTAATTCGAAAACTCACGAGCATACAATTTTCAAGCTTGAATCAAAATCAAAATAAAAAATCGAAGCTAGACTCGGCTCGAAAGCTCGAGAACTTAAAATTTTTATGTTTCACTCGAAATCAAGAATTGAAGTTTAACTCAAATTGGATCCCAAACTTTAAATGCATGAAAGCTTTATATAGTATTTTTTAAAAAATAACATACAAATGGTAATATTATTATTAATTTAATTTCAAAAATCTAAATTTTAATATATTATTTTTTTCGAGTAGCTCGCGAGCTTTTTAAGTCGAATATCAAGTAATTCGCTTCGACTCGTTAAGAATTCAAATCGAGTTCGAGCTCGATTCGAGTCCATTTAATTAAAATATTGATTGAATTAATCTCGAATAACTTACAACCTTTCACATCTCATTTACAACCCCAAAAGAAATAATAGTGATCGAATATTATTACTCACAGCAGCACTTCCTCGCGGCAAACCAGTCGATTTTCCCCAAAAATACTCTACACCTATATATTTTCCTGTTAGACACCGTTCAGGCTTATATTTCCCGATCTAACACCCTTTGCAGAAAGGCACGCTCCTGCACCGCGTTTTACGCCATGGGGTAAGGCGCGCCCCTGCAACGCGTCTTGTTAAACGTGTAAAAAACCCGGATGCTAATTTTGTAAATATTTTTAAAGTGGTGCCTAATATGTAACAAGTGATCCGTATGTGAGGGTGCAATATGGAAACTTGAAGAGACGAACAAAGGTATCGAGTCAACCTGATTTCGAAACAGTTTAATTAATGATGCAAGTTTATATTGGCGTGTGCAGTGCTGTATATTTGTAGCTTATCCGATTCATGGAATGCCCTTCAGGTTATGTACAAAACGTTGAACCCTAAGTGGCATCAAACGTTGGAATTCCCTGACGACGGCAGTCCTTTAGAGTTGCATGTCAAAGACCACAACGCGTTGCTACCAACATCGAGCATAGGTGATTGTGTTGTAGAATACCAGAGACTGCCTCCAAATGAAATGGCCGACAAGTGGATACCACTACAAGGAGTCAAAAGGGGAGAGATTCATGTTCAGGTTACGAGAAAAGTTCCGGAACTAGAGAAAAGACCGGGTCTGGACCCTGAACCATCCTTAACAAAAGCTCCTCAAATATCAAGCCAGGTGAAAACATGTTGGTTATGTTGATTTCCACGGTCCTATATGATCAAACAATGTCGAACTCTTAACATATTTTATTCGATTTGAGTTTGTTTACAGATGAAACAAATGATGATCAAGCTTCAATCTTTAATTGAAGATAGCAACCCCGAAGGGAAGTCAGCTCCGTTGAGCGAACTCGAAACTCTTCAAGATATGCAAGAAGAATACATGGTACAGCTTGAAACCGAGCAGATGCTTCTACTGAACAAGATAAAGGAGCTTGGTCAGGAGATTTTGAACTCATCCCCTCCTCTAAGCTGAAGATCTTCTCGAAGTTGAAGCGATTCTTTACATTCTGATATCACACGTTAAGATGATCGTTCTACCAAGATTGTTTCGCTTGCCCCGGAAATGCTTACAGAAAAAAGATCATGTACATCACACGCGGCACAATAATGATCAACAGAATAGGCATCACTGCTTCATAGATTTGGCTGATTGATAGTACTTGCATTGCTTTTAGGATTGCATAATGGCTTATGCTTGTTCAAATGTAGATAAGGTCATGTATTGTGAGTTGTATTGCTTAAATTCACAAGTACTGAATTTGTATCATAAAATAATTGTAATAAATAAAATATTTTAATGTAATTGCAAGATTTGATGGGAATAATGCTGAATTGTGAAAAATTATGAATTTTTTAAAGCTGTAACTACAATCATCCTGTGATGTAAGTAAGTAAATTATGAAAATTTTTAATGTTACGTAGGTTATAAATTACGGAAAATAATAGTAAGTAATCGATCGTAAATAAAAAAGAAAATGAGTATATAAATTTACGTGAAAAATCTTTAATAGAAAAAATATAAATAAAAGAAAAGAAAAAAAATCATTATGATCGATAACAATATCACAAGGGAGATACCAAAAAACACACCATTCTTAAAATACACATTTATATAAGCGTATATATATTAACCCGGTGAATTTTAATTAAATTATTATTTTTTTATTTGAATTTAATCAAATCAAATTAATTTTTTTTAAAAGGATAAATTATAAATGTATCTATACAGTAAAACATTTGAAAGACCCAGCCCAATGCCGAAAAGAAGCATATCCATTATCTATTTTGTTTAAAGGCAAAACGAAATCTTATCTCTTCTCCTACAACTGAGAAAGCCCCGCTTTCTTCCAAGTTTTGCAGCGCTACAACTAAAGCTAAAACAATGGCAGCTACTCCTCAGTAACAAAAGGCAAAGCAATGGCCTTCACTACCACAAGATTGGCGGAAATGCCCCGCAGGGCTCCACTCCCTTTCTCCTCCTACTCCTACCCTTCTTCCCTCAACCTTTTGTTCTCACTCCCAAAACCTTCATTTCACTTCTTCAGCTCTTTACCCTGTCTCCGGTCCGGAATCAACCCGAGCTCCATTTCGAACCGCTATTCTTACCCGTGGCACCACAGCCTATCCTCTGTGCCTCTTAACACCGGTGGCGCCAAATTTTCCCTCCAGGCCTTGTCTTCCCGTTCTGAAAAAATCATCCAAGCGGACTGTAACGGTGAAGGGGGCGCCGAAACTCGGTATTTAGATAAAGATAAAGGTCAAAGCGCTATAGACAGGATTGTTCTCAGGCTGCGAAACCTTGGGTTAGGATCAGATGACGAAGATGAAGAAGACGATGATGAGACCGGCGATTACGATTCAACGCCGGTGACTGGAGAAGAGAGATTAGGCGATTTATTGAAGAGAGAGTGGGTTCGACCTGACACGAGGCTGATAGAGAGAGAGAAGGAGGAAGATTTACTGCCCTGGGAGCGGGAGGAGGCGGAGTCGGCGGCGGCGGTGGTGGTGAAGGAGGGAGATTTGAAAAAGAGGAGACTCAGGGCGCCGACATTGGCTGAGCTGACAATTGAGGATGAGGAGCTTAGGAGGTTGAGGAGGATGGGGATGTATTTAAGGGAAAGGATCAATGTGCCGAAGGCGGGGATTACGAAGGCTGTTTTGGACAAAATTCATGATAAATGGAGGAAGGATGAGTTAGTTAGGCTTAAGTTTCATGAGTTTCTCGCCATCGATATGAAAACTGCTCATGAGATTGTTGAGGTTGGTTTGTTGCTTTTAGTCCCTGGAAATTTTTGGCTTTTGGAATCATTTTATTGGTTTTGTTATTCATGCATGCATTTCTATGGCTTAAGGATCATTTTAAACCTTGGGATTAAGCTTGTATGTAACATATTTTTGTTTTCTAAAAGAAAATTGAATGATGTTATCATTGGAAGTGATAAACTTATGCTAATGTTTTGATTGTTATGGGGTAGAGGGGTTGATACATTAAGCCTTTTGGTTTCTAGTTTTACATGGTGAATGGTGATAAGGGCTGAGAATTGAGATCTTATGAAAGAAATCTAAAATTGTAACGAGTTTAATTAGTTTTCTTTTGAAGTGGATAATTGGACACAAGGAGCTTGTCATAAAAGTAGGACGCCATTTAGTATTTGATGCCGATTGGGAAACCAAATTGTTTTTTTTTTTGTAGATTTGGAATAATTAGGATTATCTGTGCTTCTGTGCTTTAATCTGATATCATGTTTCTGACTTCCGAGTTCTTATTACAACATAACATTCACGGCTTGTATTGATGGTCAGCGTCGTACAGGAGGCTTAGTTATATGGAGATCTGGAAGTGTTATGGTGGTCTATCGTGGGAGTAACTATGAAGGTCCTTCTAAATCCCAATCGAATGATCGAGAAGGAGAAGCTCTTTTTATTCCGGATGTTTCTTCCTCCAGCGAAAAGGAAAGTGAAATGGGCTCAACTCTAACCCCAGAAGAGTCTGATAAAGTTGTGTTGAAGGCAGAACGTAGTGAAAGCATGACTGAAGAGGAAGTTGAGTATAACAGCTTACTAGATGGTCTTGGTCCTCGGTTTGTTGAGTGGTGGGGTACTGGAGTTCTTCCGGTTGATGCTGATTTACTTTCTCAAAAGATACCTGGTTATAAAACACCTTTCAGGCTTCTTCCTGCTGGAATGAGACCACGGCTTACAAATGCAGAGATGACAAATTTACGGAAAATTGCTAAATCACTTCCTTGTCACTTTGCCCTGGGTATGTTCACTTTTCTTCTTGTTTTCTCTTTTGATTGTCTGTTTGTGACTTTATAAAGAGTTTTTCTATTAAATATTCTTCTAGGGAGGAATAGAAACCACCAGGGATTGGCAGCTGCAATAATTAAGCTTTGGGAGAAAAGCCTTGTTGCAAAGATTGCTGTAAAACGAGGTATTCAAAATACAAATAACAAGCTTATGGCTGAGGAGCTAAAGGTATATTCTTTTACTACTTAAAGGCTCCAGGAATTTTTTATTTAGCATGTTCTTGTACTAAGTACCCTAGTAGGTTGCAAAGCTACGAACCATTGCCTAAGCTGAACTTTTTACTCATGAATGCTCCTCGTAAACTCGTTTTCAGCATGATTCCATTTTTATTCAGTTTATTAGCTTTTTATTTGATTACTGTTTTATCAATTGTTGGCAATCTTTTGGCTACCAAACTGTTTTACCTGATTGGTGATGAGTTGAACACTCTTTGACTGGTTCCTTCCATGCCCAATCCAATTCAATTAAGATTAAACCCCAAACTTATATTAGTTTATGAGCATGCATGCAAGGTAGCAGAGGCAATTATTAGTTAATTCGATGACATATAATTTAGAAGTATATTAATTTATGAACATGGAAGACATGTGAAGCTTAAAGGAGCATTGTAACTTTTATCCAAGTTATAATATTAGTAGCATTTACCACCACAATTATCTCATGATCATCTGTTTGCCCCCTGTATGAAAGTTTTCATGTGTTTATTTGGATATTTTGTCATTTAATATATATGATGCACTTCCAAAAGAGACGAGAGTATACTGCTCATTCATACTAACAATTTTGCAGAACTTAACTGGAGGTGTCTTGTTGCTTAGAAACAAGTATTTTATTGTCATATACCGAGGAAAAGATTTCCTTCCACCAAGTGTTGCTGCTGCTCTGGCAGAAAGACAAGATTTGACAAAACAGATTCAAGATGCTGAGGAGAAATTGCGGGTCAGAGCAGTTGAGCCATCTCAATCAGGTGAAGATAAAGGACAGGCACCTGCAGGTACTTTGGCTGAGTTTTATGAAGCTCAAGCTCGCTGGGGAAGAGATATATCTGCTGAAGAACGTGAAAAGATGATTGAAGAAGCATCAAAAGCTAAGCATGCTAGACTTGTAAAACGTGTGGAACATAAATTGGCTGTTGTAAGTATAAATTTATGCCAGAAAGAATGTCTAATTTTGACTATTCACTAGTTTTGTTATCATTTTAAACCATTGGAAAATTAACCACAGAAGCTTCTTTTGATGTATAGTCATGTCTGCTTTCTACTGCTATTCTCTATCTTGCATGTCCAATAAGTTTCTTCTTTTTAAAGATCTGAATCACGGTGCTATTTCTGGTCCTCAAATTTCTATTCATCTTTGAAAGTTTTCAGTTTCTTGTTTAGTTCTTCTAGGTAGTTGCTGTCTGATATAAAATTTTCCATGTTTCTACTTGCTCTGGGTAAACAATATGTTTGGGTTATTATATTTATTTGTTTATTGATATTTATTGAATGCTTGAACATGCAAACAGGCCCAAGCCAAAAAGCTTAGAGCAGAGAGACTATTATCTAAAATAGAAGCCTCGATGATCCCTGCTGCTCCTGATTATGACCAAGAAACAATCACCGATGAGGAAAGGGCTATGTTTCGCAGAGTTGGTTTAAGAATGAAACCATACTTGCCTCTTGGTATGTGATCTTTTCGTTTGGTGATGGAAATTTGAATTTAGAGTTAAAATGCTGATGGTTTGTACAAATATATACTAGGTATCCGTGGTGTTTTTGATGGTGTAATTGAAAATATGCATCTGCATTGGAAGCACCGAGAACTTGTAAAGCTAATATCCAAACAAAAGAACCTTGCATTTGTCGAAGATACAGCAAGGTTATTGGAGTATGAAAGTGGTGGGATACTGGTGGCAATAGAAAGGGTCCCCAAAGGATATTCTCTCATCTACTATCGTGGAAAAAATTACCGCAGGCCCATTAGCATAAGGCCAAGAAACCTTCTAACGAAGGCAAAGGCATTGAAGCGCTCAGTTGCAATGCAACGCCATGAGGTTTGATATCCTACATTCTGATTTTATTGTTATACTTAATAATAATTCTTCCATACTACTTTTATGTCTTACATCATACTATTTGTAGGCTCTGAGTCAGCATATCTCTGAACTGGAGAAAACCATAGAGCAAATGAAAAAGGAAATTGTAAGTGCTCCTTCTCTTATGTACATTCAATTTTTGAAATCTTAACTTCTGTTCTAGATATATCTGCTGCATTCTTAACCCAGTTAACCTTAGCAAGTGGCATGGATAATCTGCTCAAATATTTAAGCAATCCTTAAAAAATGTTAGATGGATTACAGAATTGAACCAACACTAGGTAGGACTTTCCGAAGTGATAATTTGGTTGATAATCTGCTCGTAATGCTGCCATTATTTATGGTTACTGGTATGCTCTATGGATTTGTGTACATTTCCTTTAGTATTGCCTATTTAATGAGAGTATGCAATGGTCTTTGATCGGACTTATGAGGCTATAACGTGGGTGGATTTTCTTTTTCATTTTTTATAATTCTGACTTGTTGAATCTTCAATGTTGCCATTCTTTCCTGTAAAGTCATCATTGGTTCTTTTAGGCAACTCTGATTCTTTGTGGTTTTATACTAGTAAAGTCATCGTTGTCAGTATTTCTTGTCATTGGAGAATTATTGTTGGTTCTGTAGGGTGCTGAAGATGTTGAGGGCGATAACAACAGAGGGTCAGGTGAACATGGCCGGTTTGATCCTGTCTCAGAACTCTACCAAGTGAGTTACAATATGTTGCTACTATTCTTGAAATTATTTTGTTACTGTTGTGGGACAATGTTTCTTTGTTAGGGAATAAGTTGTCAAAGTACTTGTTTTCAGATTGAGTATGAGGCTTCAGATATAGCATCCGACAATGATGACGAATACAAAAATGAGCTTGATGACTATGAAGATGATAGCGAGTTTGTTGACGATGAAGATGACGCCACCAACGACTGGGAAGATGCAGATGATGAAGATGAAACCGATAACGACTGGGAAGATGATGAATCTTTAGAATCGAACCTTAAAGAACCCGATTCACACAGATATCGTCGATCAAGTTTCTGAAAATTTTGAACCGAGTAGACAGTTTTCTTCTTGTTCACACATAGTCCATCAACCAGTCTTTCATTTTCCCGATAATGTCGGGCTGGAATGAGTAACCATACATGATGGCTGATGTCTCTTTCTATTTTGGATTGAATTGTTAAAATTGAGGCGGAAGCGCTTACATGCATCAGCTGCCATTGAACTGGCTTGTACAATCTGTAGCAATTTGTTCAGTTTTAACACCTGAAGGTTTGGTATTGTATACCATTTCTCATTTAGGGCTGGGGTTAATTCAAAAATAAAGTAAGTTGTGTAATAAAAAATTTACATGTTATATATTGGAAATTTCTGAGTTATATGCTACTACTAATGAATGTTTTGTGGTCTGAATTTTTTCAATATACAAAATACAACCGATATGATATATCTTCACGATCGAAAAGAAAAAAGAAGAAGAAGATCTTGATGAACAAGTTACTGCAATGGAGCTCGATTCAGAACAGAAAAATTGAACCTCGAGCTATCAACGTCCCAATAGAGGCCGATCTCATCGTCTTCCTTGAGTTCTCTTCTCTTCACAAAATCTTTAGTCCAGTTACTGACGAACACGTTGGCCTTATTGTTCCAACGCTTGAAAATCATGCCATGTAGGGTGTTGGTGTCACAATCCCAACCTGAAACCGGCAACCCTCGTTCAGTGCTTGCTACCTAATCGACATTCCAGTGCGGCAGAATATGGTATTCCACCAACTCCGATCCCAACACCAACCTCACCATGTTCTCGAGATCACTCCAGCAGAGCTTCTTCTTTATGCACCATGGATCACGGCCGAGTCTTAGATCTCGACTTTCCTCCTCTTGTAAGTAGGAGGCTTAGGGTTTCACATTGTTTTTCCCTTCTCCAAACTTCTGTTGTTCTTCAGATTATGGTGATTGCTGCTTTCACCAACTTCAAACCTTGAACTTTTATTCACCGAAAGAGATAAGTCTAACAAAACATCATCGGTTTTGGTTCGGTCCGAGTGCAAACCAAATCCGCTCTTCTCGATGCACATTAGATCACATACTTCGAATGTACTTGGTCCCGACAGGAAAACCCCATTGCCGATCTTATCTATAAAGTGAAAGAGATAAATCCAAAGAAACACCGGTCTCTTCAAAATCTTGGTGTCCCGACATAAAAGCCCCATTGCCGATCTTCTACAACAAGTTCACAGTACTAAGTTCTACTTTCTTCTGCCATAATGGTACCGCCGACATATCAGTTGAGATTGATGAAAACGATGTGTTTAACAAGCGAAAGAGACAAACCCAATGGAACATTGGTCTCTTCAAAATCAGGGTTCTTCTCTTCTGTCATAATGGTTCTATCGCCATGAATGAAACTCCAAGAAATGAATGGTTTGTCTTCCATTGTCGAAGCAACGTGAAAGCACCGAGACAAGAACTCTTAAAACAACCCTCTTTAATGGAAAAATTATACAAACTTAGAAAGCTCTCCCGCTAATCTCAACTTTCAACTCTTCAAGTAAAATAATTTGTTGAGTCTTTTAGTAAAATTATAGGGTCTACACCGTCATTGTCAAATATTTTTCATAATAAATGATATTTTATTTCAAATATAATGTGTTTGGGAAAAAACTTTTAATAATTATATTTTAGAAAAGTACTATAAGTATAACGGCTCATCGATTGTGGATGAACATCGTTAACGATGAGCACCATTAAATTAATTTATAAAATATTAGATTATAAAGTACTAAACATACAAGTATGAATTAATTAAAAATCTAAATGTAATTTAATTAAAATACAATATTTATAAAACATTAGTTTTTTATAATCTTATTTTAATTATAATTAGATCAAATATTAATTTGAAAAATTTATAATCCCTAACTTATTTTCATAGCTTTGAAGCTCCAACTGTCGCCATCGTCGCCACTATTGGTATCATCTTTCGCCGGCGGCGAAAGATGTTACCGACGATGGTGGGAGCTTTAAAGCTATGAAAATAAATTAGGGTTTATAAATTTCTCAAATTAATATTTGATCTAATTATAATTAAAATAAGATTACAAAAACTAATGTTTTATAAATATTGTATTTTAATTAAATTACATTTAGATTTTTAACTAATTTATAATTATACATTTAATATAATTTAACATTTTATAAATTAATTTAATGATATTCATCATTAACGGTACTCATCTGTGCTCGTCGAGCGTGGCAGCATAATCCTATATTTTATTATTAGCGCTCTCCCATTTCCCTCCTTTTTTTTTTTACTATCGGTTTATGTCTTTTTTATAGATTGGATTAACTTTTTCTTCTTTGATTTTGTTTAGCCGGCGACGTCATCGATTTTGATGTTGATTGTCGATCGTTGATTCTCTTTTCTTTGTCTTTTTAGCTTTTTAATAAGAATATTTTTGCTTTTGTGGTACATTTATCTCTATTTTTTTGATACGTTTTTTATTTTCTTTATCGGTCATTTGACTGTTCTTTTATTTATGTTTTTTAAGGATGAATTTGACAACGTCAAGACTGATCAAGATAATGCTTGTTTGTAATCTTGTTAATCTTCCTTGCTATGGACCTTCGGATTGAATTTGGATGCATGATTTTGCAATCGTGGATAGTTCCTCACGATGCTCAACTATGATTTATGGTTCTTGATGGTTTTTTAATAGATTAATTCTCTTTTGTGGTTCATTTACTGTAGATATCAGAGTAATTCTCTGTATTTTCTTATTATTTTCAATAGGACAGATTACATATTTATATACAAATTATCTCTCTAAAGTAAGAAACTCTAAGAAAGGAAATATACTAATCCTAAGATATGATCCCTTAAAATAAGGAATTGTAAAAATCTATTTACAGAATCCTCTAACTAAAGGAATGGTAACAAATCATATCTCTATAATTCCTACACTCTCCCTCAATCTGGAAAATATACATTGTATAATCTCAGCTTGAATAGGAATTTATTGAAAACATGCTTTTGGCAAAGCCTTAGTAAGAATGTCTGCAACTTGTTCTTTTAAAGGAATGTATGAAAGTGTGGCTTTCTTTTTGTTAACTTGATCAGCAATAAAATGCCTATCAATCTCAACATGCTTTGTCCGATCATGGTGAAATGGGTTCTTGGAAATCTGACAAAAAACTTCAAAGTGATCCCCTTGATTAGTGACAAGTTCTTTCAGTAGTTTAAGTAGCCTTCAATCAGCTTCCAACCAAGAAAACCAATTTCTTTGAGTAAATCAAGTCCATATTTTCTTTGGTTGATCACAAGTCCTTATTTTGACCTTGTCACCTCCATTCCTAGGAAATACCTTAGCTTTCCCAAGTCCTTGGTTTTGAATTCCTTATTTAACAACTTCTTCAAATTGCAAATCTCTTCTTTATCATCTCCGGTAAGAATTATGTCGTCCACGTACATAATAAGGATAGTTTTCTTATTTGTAGAAGTTACCTTGATTAAAAGAGTATGATCGGCGAGGGACTGCCTGTAGTCGTTTTTCATAATGACTTTAGTGAACCTCTCGAACCAATCTCTGGGTGATTGTTTTAATCCGTATAGATACTTGTTGAGCTTGCAAACCTTGTTGCTTCTTCAACAGACTTTAATCCATATGACAACTTCATATAAACTTCTTCTTCTAGCTTGCCATTAAGAAAAGCGTTTTTACATCAAGTTGGTGTAATTTCCAATTGCAATTTACATCCAAACTTAGGAGTACTCGAACAGTATTCAGCTTTGCCACAGGTGCAAAAGTTTCTGTGAAATCTATCCCATATGTTTGCGTAAAGCCTCTGACCACTAGTCTAGCTTTATATATCATTGAATACTACCATTGGAGTTATACTTTACAACAAAGATCCATTTACAACCAACAACATTTTTTCATTGAGGAAGGTCTGTAACGGTCCAAGTAGACTTTTTCTCTAGTGTACAAATTTCCTCTTCAACAACCATTCTCCATTTTTATATCCAAGGTTGCTATAAATGCTTCAAAAGACGGAATCAATGAATTATAACTAGCAAAATTTTCAATATGATGTTTGGTGCACTGTCTAACCCCTTTTCTAATAGCAATAGGGAAGTCATCTAGAGTAGGGAAAGTGGACTTACTGGTTTCTTCTTCTATTTCGGCAACTGGACCCAAATCCAATTCTTGGCAAGCATCAAACTGCAAAACAGCCTCAGGGATATGTTTTCTTTTCCTTGTATAGACACGAATCTGTTTGATTGGTGATGTTTGTGGAAGATTTTAAATAGGAGTAGGTGTATTTTCAGGAAGGGTGTTTAAAGTAGGTGTGGGTGAAGTAGTGATAGGTACTACAAATGAATCAATGGGAGTAATTACAGGTGAAAAATTTATAGGTAAAGACAAAATTGGGGGTAATTCTGAAGGTTGAGAATGAAGAGTAGGAGGATATACTTGATGTGGATGAAAATCCTTCCATGTCTCCCCCTGAATTTTAGCTTGAGTGAAATATGGATCATGCTCATAAAATGTTATATCCATAGTGGTAAAAAATTGTTTAGAAGGAGGATGATAGCATTTATAACCTTTCTTAAGTGAAATAATACCCAACCAGGACACACTTTAACGATTTAGGAGCAATGTTTTGGATAAAAATAATACAACCAAATATTTTAAGTGGCAGAATGGAGGAGATAGGTTTAAAATGGGGAAAGTATTGCAAAAATATAGATTGAGGTGTTTGAAATTATAAAACCTTATTAGGCATTCAATTGATTAAATATGTGGCAGTTAATAAGGCTTCCCCCACAAATATTTTGGAACATTAGTGGTAAATAGAAGAGAACGAGTAACTTCAATGAGGTGTCTATTTTTTCTTTCGGCAATGATGCTTTGCTGTGGGTTCCAACACATGAACTATGCCATTTTCCCTGAAAAAAAACACCCAAAGACATAGCAAAAAATTCACTGCCATTATCAGATTTAAAGAGCTAAATTTTGACCCAAATTGAGTGAGAACCATGTTATAAAATTAGGCAAAAACACCAGCATTTCAGGTTTATCTTTTAGCAAATAAGTCCAAGTTATCCTACTGCGATCATCAATGAAAGTGATAAACCACTTACAATTATCAGTATTCTTCACCCGAGAAGGGCCCAAAATATCACTGTGGATCAAAGCAAAAGGGTGAGAAGGCTTGTATGTAGAAGGAGAATAAGATGATTTAGTATGTTTGGCAAGAGAGCAAACTTTGCAAGAAAAAGAATTTGACCTTTTATGAATGAATAGAGCAGGAAAAACTTTCGCAAGAT